TGGTCTTCGATAGACTTAATTATTGAGTTGGTTTTGGTCTTAAATATAAAATGTAATATTTATCATTTATTGATTTATTCTAAATTATCTCTATAGATACTTCTTTAACTATAATTAAATAGAAAAGGAAGGGAGGATATTAAGGAAGATGATTATAGTGTTTTAAGAAAAACATGTTATATTTCTTATAATTAACTAACCTACCTAACTTCTTTAATATAATTGAATTAGTTAAATGAGTTTTATATTAAAGATTAGAAGAGTATGCTAAAGCATGGGGGATTGCAAGTGACGGAATGCATGATCAACCCATAATTTGACAGGAGTTAGGACGAGGCGAATAAGAATGTCACTAGGGGGGTTTGGGTAGCCCAATATAACACTTTTCAGAAGCACTTTTTTACAAATCGAGACAAACTCCTCTATATATTTACTTCATATATCGTAAAAGTACTTCTGAAACTATAGTTTTGGTCTTACTCAAATAGATCACACGTTCATTAGCTTAATAATTAACATTTTTCAGTCTTTATATGACATAATTAAGATAATTGGTCATGTCCCTTGTTATAGTTTTAATAGATTATTATTCCTAATGGCCGATCAAGCAATAATATTTAAACAGTATTTATCTTTGCCCCTTTACAGTGTATTTTTTTTTTTTTTTAAACACTATTTACAGTGTATCTTTTTGTTTTTTTTTTTTAATTTATTTACCGCCACATGGGCCAAAAACACGGTGCCAATAATTAGAAAAAATATTAAAATGTATCGTTTTAACTTTTTAAAAAATATAATTTTAACCTATAGGGCTGATTGAACCCCTTTTAATCGTATAACAGTAGGATCAGGAATTACGAAGACATCATTTCCTTCTTACACTTATTTTCTCTGATAGATGTGAATGTTTTAAACTCTTTTTCTGGCTTTTTTTTTTTTATTTCTCAGTATTAGTTACGACCTTGTAAATGCTTGTCCTTTTATTAATGTCATTTAACTTTTTATAAAAAAATTGGGAAAATGACAAAAAAATACTCATTGAAATTGAAAAAGACAAAAAGGTGATCCAAATAAATGAAATGACTAAATGGACATGAAGTATGAATTTGAAATTTACAGATTTTGGTAAAATAACTAATACACCCCTAGAGTAAGACAGAAAAATCGGTTGAATATTTTCATACACTAACACATTGATTAAGATAGATTGCAAAACTCATTACATAAATAGTCACTTTTATTTTGTAAGTTGTTATTTTCATTATATATTTAGTAAAATTGTGGGTAAAAGCATTAAAAATAGTTGCAAATAAACAAGTTGCAAATCCCCTAATGTAAATGACAACTTTCATTACGCAAGTTGTGATTCTTTTTACTTGTTTTGCAAAAATGTCTAGAAATAGCTTATAACAAATTATAAAACTCTTTATGCAAATGGTTACTTTTATTTCATAAGTTATTATTCTCATTGTACGTTCAGTAAAATTATATACAAATATATTAGAAATTGTTACAAATAAAGAGGTTGTGAAACACATTTTGAAAGTTGTTAATATCTTCACAAATGCTGTTAAAAGCTACCTTTATTATAATGAAACCTAAAGGAAAACTAAATCCAAGTTCCTCCAGTCACTAAAAAGGGTTCTTTGAAATCACATTGCCCCCGTTGCAGGAGTAGATTGTCGTCGTTGAAGTTGGTTACCATCATTGAAGTACATTGCCCTGTTTGAAATAACTCGTACTTCCTGAGATTGCCTCAGTCGAGGAGGTCGCTGAAGTAACGCCAACTACGATAAACAAATAGGAAGCTTGAATATTGTTCTTCATAAAGCATTTTCAATGAGTCTCCAAAGCTTAAAATGTTATTGTCTAGCATTCATCTTTTTGGTTCTGTCTCTGTTCTTTGCATAAAACTGTTTTCAGGGAATATGAAGCTGCCTGATTTTCTAGTATTATTAAACTATTTGCCCTGAATATTACAAAACACATATTGAGATTTACAACTTTCATAGTGTAAGTGACTGCTTTGTTAATGAGTTTTGCAATATGTTTCAGGAGATGGGCAATTTGTTTCTAAAAGCCAATAAAATTCTACACTAAATTTGACAAAACACATAGTGGGATGTATAAATTTCGTAGTGAAAATGACCACTTCTTTAATAGGTTTTGCAACCTATTTTTAAGGGATGGACAACTTGTTTCTAAAATCCAATAAAATTCCACGTTAAATTTTACAAAACACATAGTGGGATTTATAATTTTAGTAGTGAAAATTATCACTTCTTAAATGGATTTGGCAACCTGTTTTCAAGGAATGGGCAACTTGTTTCTAAAAATTAATAAAATTTCATACTGAATTTTACAAAACATATAGTGGGATTTACAATTTTCGTAGTAAAAATGACCACTTCTTAAATAGGTTTTGCAACCTGTTTTAAGGGATGAGCAACTTGTTTCTAAAAACCGACAAAATTTCATGCTAAATTTTACAAAACATATATTAAGATTTACAACTTTCGTAGTGAAAGTGACCAGTTTGTTAATGGGTTTTACAACCTATTTCTGGGAGATAGGTAACTTGTTTTTGACCACCAATAAAATTTCATACTGAATTTTACAAAACACATAGTGGGATTTACAACTTTCATAGTGAAAGTGACCACTTCTTCAATGGATTTTATAAACCTGTTTTCATCAGATGTGCAATTTGTAAGCATAAATAAACCATTTAGTAGACGTGCACATAAAGTACATCACAGTAAACATTGAACCATTAACTTTTATAATTAACTACATGTGTAATGAAATATACCATTCACATAATGGTATTTACCAAAAACCAAAAGCATATGACAGCAGTTGCATTACGTAATTGCTTGCCATCATTTTTAGATTTTTGTTACATCATTCACCAAATACTGAATATAAACCCTCAAACCCAATAATCCTGTCCCTATTTCACCATGAAGCAACCACAAAAATGAACAACCCAAATCCCACCATCAACTTCTACTTACTTACATAATCCTACAGGTTCACTCCCTCTCTTCTTCTCTCTCTCTCTCTTCCCTATTTTTTCTCTGCTTCTTCTCTAAACTTTATTTCTCTCCCCCCCCCTTTTATAACATTGGTGATGAGATTGAGAAGGGAAGATGAAAGACAAGAGGTACCAAGTCTCAAACCCCAAGCATAATGAAATATTTATTCAGAACATACCAGAACGCCGTAGGAGAGACCACATCTTTTTCTTCTTCATCGAACCCTTTGACAGTTCATTCCTAGCCTTCAGTTCTGCCGCCCTTTGAAGAAGAAAAGAACCTGAAGAGAGAGAAAAGAACTCTTTGAACATGAAGTGAAAGAGAAGACAAAAAAAGATGAGAAAAAGGACATTGAGGTAATTTGTTAAAATTTGTAAGCCCCAATTCAATACCTGTAATCCTGTTTGTCCTTTGTGAAATTAGAATGACTAATCTGGAATTTCAAAATTCAAACGGTATTTATATGGGATTTTTCCTGAAAAAATTGTAAGTGAAATTATTCTTTTTAATTAATATTCAGTACGACATAGTGATGGCTTATGAATCAAAATTATAAGAGACAATCTGTTTAATGACTTGCTCTTTCTACATGGCATAAATTTTTTTCTACCATCTTTCTATATCAATAATCAATAATCTTTATTTATAAGAAAATCGATAACAATTAAAACATAAAATAAATATATGAACCAAAAATAGAGTCAAATAAATAGCAGTTATCGAAATAATTCAAAAATTTAGTCTCTCATTTTTGGGTTCCCTCTTTTTGTTTTTTGAGTTTCTCTTGGATCTTAATAGTATATCTTCATCTCACTAATGCTAGCGCAAATCTTATAATTCAAAGAACTTTTATGGCAATGTTTATCTAGTAATTATTAATAAATATCTTATGTTAGCAGAAATTTTTTATGGGAATAATAATAGAAAAATGAAACCTTTTAAATCTAGATAAACATTACTTGATTGATCCATGAGATTAAAAAAATATATATATCATATAATAAAATTATGTAAAATTTCTGGCAAGCCTGCAAATAACTTACACATCACATTAATCATACTAATACAATAATTTAGTGCCCCACAGGGGCAAAATTATTTAAAACTTCTATATATACACCTTACATTTTATTACAAGATTTAACAGCGAAAAATAAATACTATTTTTAAGGCAGAGAAAGAAGAGAAGAGAAAGAATTTTTATATGAATATACAACTTTTTCTTTTATTTATTATTATATTAACTTTATTTTCATGAGATATAATACGTATTAAATAAAGATAAAATTTTAAATTTAAATTTTAAATAATAGTTAATAAGATTTAAGATTTTTTATTAATCTACATAAAATATATTAAAAATAATTTATAAATAAGATTGGATATATTTTATTTTATTTTTAATCTTTTACCCGCGTTAAATTAAATAACATAAAATAGGGACTTTGCTTTGCTCTTAAATTTTTTCCCCTTTTCTACACATCGTGCAGTGAAGCTAGCTGCCGGGAGAGAGAGATCACAGCTGGGGCAAGAGAATCTGATAATGGCGCTGTCTTCCTGAATTGCTACTCCGCTAAGTCGGAGAGAGTGAAAACGGAGACACTGGAACCCATGAAAGCTCAACTATTGATTCAGATCTTCTCATGCTTCGTATTAGCCTCTGTTTGTTTTCTACAAACAACGCTCGCCGATGGCGTAACCCCTGAGGAAGCGAAAGAACTTCGAGATGAGGTGGCTCCTCGTGTGATTTTCATCTTTGCATCTTATTATATATATCGAATAAAGTTTTTTTTTTTGGTTGGTGAGTGGTAATCGGAATCTTGCTTACAGTACCTGCTGATCTTTCAGTTGTTGCACATCGATTTGATGCGCTAATTCATTGAGACTGCATTATCTAATAGTTTAACGACCCTTGGCTGTTGGAATGCAGCAAAATTCAGAGTGGGAACAATTTCTATATGACATTAGAATAGCTTGTAAAATTGACAGGACTTTTTATTGGGCGACATATATTGAGGGGAGAACGACATTGATTCAATGGTTCTTATGAAGCAGCTTTGATTTGAATAAGTTCCTTGCCTTTCAACCATAGGGCATGATTTGATTATGCATACTGAACAGTGAACTTGATGTTCCAATGTCTTGTGCTGTTGCGAATTTGGACCAAAATAATGTCTCTCGGGTTGGGGTTCTCTATTTCAACCTGTATCACATAATGGGTAGTTGCATTATATTTGCTGCTGAAGCTATGGCTTCTCTTTAGCTGATTAATTTTTCTTTATTGTGAAAATGTAGGTTCGTGGGATGTTTTATCATGCTTTTAATGGATATATGGAGCATGCTTTTCCACTTGATGAATTAAGACCTCTTTCATGTGGGGGAGAAGATTCCCTTGGTGGTTATGCCTTAACTTTGGTAAGAAAAATTCATATATATTGAGTTATAATAAGAAAATAAGAATATGTCTGCAATGCTGATGTCTGTAATGTGTCCAAAACAGATTGACTCGTTAGACATGTTGGCTTTACTTGGTGACCATGAACGCTTCACAAGTTCCATTGAATGGATTGGTAAAAATCTTCGGTTTGATATAGTGAGTGAAGGGCATTAGTTAGTTTTCCATTCTTCTTTTAGCATATGTACATGGAGCTTTTCATTTATTTTTTAATTGCTATTTCTTTATTTGAGGACAGAGCTCTATTGTGTGATTAATAGGATGCATTTTAGACTTATCAACAATCACCTATTAATTAATCTTTGAATATGTTAAGTGCACATTGTTTTTTGTATTCCTGGTTAAGTAACTTGTTCATTCAGATCAAAATTTCCGTGGGCTGACTTTTGATGCTCAGATTCTAAAGCACTTGATTTGGTATCATGTGCTTTTTCTAGTCAATATTTTATGATAAATTCCTTCAATATTATCTTTATTAGCTTGTTCTCATTTTATATAAGAAAATTATTGATTATCTTTTACAATTTTTGCTGCCACATGTCTTATATCTTTGCATATGAATACTTTAAATGTGTGTCTCTGAACCTGGTTGGTGACACTTTTTTGCAGAATAAAACAGTTTCTGTTTTTGAAACCACTATTCGGGTGCTTGGAGGCTTACTTTCTGCTCATCTAATTGCCAGTGATTATGCTACGGTATCAGCTATATGCATCCATATATGTCGATTCTCTTATAATCTAATATAATATGGGCAATATTTTATTGTAGGTTTTACATCAGGTAACTAGATGGATTTCTTCATTTTATGCTTGATTCATCACAAAATTATTAGCTTAGCATAGATAATTGTGCATGTGCATGTGTTTCTGTCGATGTCAATAAGATTGTATGATCAGCTTGCCCTAACTCAAGGCTATGTATCTCTGTTGCTTTAGTGGAATGTAAAATAGGTCCTTGGCGACTACTTGAGCCTGTACAAGGCCTTATTTAGCTTGCATGCCTTATCCTTGATGTTATTAGTGCCAAAGCCAGGATGGATTTCTGTTGAAACTTCTTCCTGATCCTCATTCAAGAAAGCATTCTATACATCGAATCGTTAAGGTTGCCAATCTAAATTTGCTGCTGAAGGTTTCCAAAGTTTGAATATATTTAATCTAGCAATTGGAGCAAATATGGAGTCTTTTCTTCTTCACACCTTTTTATTTTTTTCTGTTTTTATCATTTAGGGGGTTTATTCTGGTGAAAGTTGTGCTTCTCTTGTTGTTTGTTTATGATTTTTATTCTCTAGGTGCTTACACTGTAATTATAGTGTTTCAATTTGTATATAGTGAATTTACATTGACATTTGAAGTTGGAGAGTGAATCTTGTATACATGCATTTGCTGCAGGGTATGAGAGTTCCATCATATGACAATCAGTTACTGAACTTGGCTGAAGATCTTGGCAGGAGGTTGTTACCTGCATTTGACACTCCCACAGGTATTGCTTCTCATTTTTTTAATAGAAAAGTTTAATTAAAGTGAATTAGAATAACAAGTGTTAGAAAACGAAGTCAACTAGGATTCCACTAATCATATAGCCATTGCTGATTTATCTATATTTCCTGTCTTAAGTCCTAGAGGCAGGGGTAACTTTATAGGGTGATATTCCTCATTAATACCCATTTATTGTAATCAGGATTCTGCTACAACTTGAGTCCTATTTGTGTACCTCATTTTCAAGTGAATAACATATACTAAAAAGCATATTCATCTGAAAACACTCTCTGTTCAAACGTGGTATCAGAACTTCGGTTAATCCGAGGGATGCAAATCTGAAAATCATAGTCAGGTAGATTGACGATCAGAGAAATGCGACTACTCAAGGGAGTTAGACTTCCAAAAATAACAACAGGAAAGGAGAATAAGACAACCACTTAACAGAGAATATGACGTATGAGCATAAAAGAAAAGAATACTTGATTTCAAACAAGGTTAAATTGTTTTTCTTGGACTCGATGCTGCTAAATTTTCAGCTTCCCTGACAGCAATGGGAAGAGCCTTCAGGCTTTGCTCTTACCACACATCCGGTTAAGATAACACATTATTGGCTGTGCCATTGTTAATGTAACCTGATGGTACATTTACAGAATTTAGTGTGGACCAAATTAAAAATTTCTAAAAGTATAGGGATCCAATCACTTAGACAAACAATGGGGATCTCTAAAAATTCAGTCTTTACTTACCCTTTGGAATTTATTGACTAAAGTAATTAAACTTGTATAGATAAAGATGTAACAAACTTCACCATTTATATCCTTGAAATTGCTAATGACAAAATATTTTAAGATTCTTCTTACCTTGGATGCCTATCGTAACCAATAACCAAAATACTCAACTAATCTTTTACTAAGACCCTAGACAAGCTGGCTGAACTGTGAGGATTAAAATTGAAAATATAAAAATCTATGCTATTTCTGTTTGGATCTCTCGTGTCGTTCCCCAGACCAATTCCTGTTGTAACATTTGCATAGAGAACTAGAAATATGTGAAGACCAAAAGCTCAGTGCACATTGAATATTGAGTGATTTGCTTAGCTTGCAATCTTCCCAATTGTTGAACAATATTGCTAAATTGTTGATATGATATTAGGAAGTATTTATTTACTGTTTTAGTAATTTATATTATGGCTTTATTTTGTTCCCTGTTCAGCTTTCTTGGATTGTTTACCATTTTATGGTTTCTTTTACCTGAGGTTTAAGTTAGATTCCTTTTTTCCTTTTACTTTAAATTATGAGTTTATTTTTTATTTTAGGTTAAAGTTTTATTATTCCATACATGTCTGAAGTCATAAATGTACAGTTCATATAGGATTCTTATACCTTTGACGTCAAAATGTATTGTTCAACTGTTCTTATCAGTCCTTATGATATATCCACTATTTATTTGGTAAGATGGATGAAAACTTTCTTGCTAGTGGTTTTTACCATAATTTTATAGATAACATCGTTTAGTTTTCCGGTCCATTACTTGCCTACTATCTCATGCAATGTTGCATTGCAGGAATTCCATTTGGTTCAGTAAATTTGTTACATGGAGTTGATAAACATGAAAGCAAGGTAAAGTTTTTATGTATGCCTCATCCCCTTCTCTTGTAATCTGTATGTCCAAAATCTTTGCTACTCACTGGTCTGGTTAAGTTCCCAACAATTAAATTGTATTTACTTTAGAAAACGGGTGTAGATAAAATAAATGCAATCTTTTATGGAGCATTGTTTATGTAGAGGGGAGTGAAAATAACTCTCTTTGCTTCTCATCAAACAAAATCGGGGAGATATATACAGAGATGGCCAATTTATGTAGGCCGAAATTATGGGATACAGGGAATAAGAAAAATTCCTATTAAATCCTATCCATAATAAATACAAATATTTACATATTGAAGTATATATGATTAACGCAGCTTAGTACTAGAACTTGATGATTATGAGTTAAAACTTCTTAGCTTGCTACTGTCTTTAACATAGGTATTCCATGCCTTCAATCTCTTTTCTGTTTTTTTGTAACGAGTTTATAATAATTACTTTGGTGCTTAGATAACTTCAACAGCTGGAGGTGGGACATTGACTCTTGAATTTGGAGTTCTGAGCCGTTTGACAAATGATCCCAGTAAGTTTACATTTCTCCCTCTTTCTTGGATCTTATTTGCCACTAAAGTAGTCTCTAGGAAGGGCTTGAATGTAGTACTTAATTGCAAAGTTGGAACTAGGTATTATTTTAGCATGTAACCCTTGTACTGACTGGGAAAATAAATTCACCGATAATAAGTTGAAATCCATGAAATATCATTACTAATTGGGTAAAATCTTTGTATCTCATTTTGCAAACAAGGGCCTAGCGTCTCCTTGAAATATCATTCATTGTATAATTTATTTAGAATTAATCTTGATTCATCCATGTGGCTGTTTGTCATGTTACTGTCTTGTAGTGCGTTTGGATACCATGAAATGCTTAAAATGTTGAGATTTCTCCGTCCTGAGATTTGCCATAGAACAGGATAGTCTTTCTACCATTTTGCTGATACTGAGATTGTGGTTTCTTTCAAGGATACCCTGTGGAGAATCATCCTTTAATTTGTTGATTTTAGATTTTCCTTTAATGTCGTGAATTCTTCTATAGAACAATCAGTATAGTTGTTCCATTGTTAATCAACTTTTTGTTAATCATTTACATCCTCAGGTATCTAAATCATGGCTATATGGACCCCACTTTCTTTGCTATTTATTGAGATTGATTGCTGGCAATCACATATTAGCCTGTGTTGTAGAAGAATGACATTTGTGTTGAGGATTTACCATATGTAAAATTCTATGATCTTTCACAAAACTGGACGGGGATTAGGGATTTCTATATATATGTAGTATTGAATATTTTCATAGAGTAATTTTTGTTTGGACTATTTTCAATGTTTACCTCACTTTTTCTTCGCCTGGTTTCCCTCCATCTTTGGACTGGACACTTGACTGGTTCCCAATTCAACTGGCTAAACCGACCAGTCTGGTCAATTCTCAAATCCTTGCTTTTATCATTATGTCCTTTGGGGGAAGGGAGGGGTTGGGTTAATTTCTCACAGTTCTTCATGCGTACATTTGTTGATTTGCAGTTTTTGAACAAGTGACTAAGAATGCAGTGCGCGGACTTTGGGCCCAACGTTCAAGGCTTAATCTAGTTGGTGCTCATATTAATGTTTTTACTGGTGAATGGACCCAGAAGGTACTGCATAGATTTCACTTGACAAAAATCATAAATGGTTTCAAGAAAATTATATATATATGCCACATCTCTGAAGTTCTGGCGATGATCACGTTAATCTTAACTTTATATTGTTTATCAGTTGCTTGATATTACTTTCCATCTTTTCATTGATCTATCTTCTCTCTGTCTTAATAAACCTAGCCTCAGTGGCACCAATTCCTTCTACTAGTGTCAGAAACTACAGCCATCTCTATGATTTTTGCAGGATGCTGGGATAGGAACTAGTATTGATTCTTTCTATGAGTACCTGTTAAAGGTCAGTGGCCACGACTGGAATGATTATTTTTATTGTTTATTTCATGATTAAAGAAGAGACTTAGCAAAGGTTTTTTTTTTTGTGGGGGGGGGGGTGCCAAAAAAAGGATTACAAATTTATGACTTGGGGGACGATTAAAAAAGAGGGGGCAAAAACAAAATGAGGAACATTGTAAACATATTTTTGCTCCTCAATCTCTGAATTTTTCATAAACATTTGAACTATATTCATTTTATTGATAACTCCATTGAAAGTTCAATATTAAAAGGATCACTGAAGTTGATTTCTATTTCACGTTATTCATTTCTATGCATGGTAATTCACCGTTCTACCTAGTCACCATCTTGATTGATTCCCTTTAATCATTTGTAGCCACAATGCAATTGGATTGTTTGTGTAATAAGGGTAACAATATCTTTTATTTACATAACTGGTGCCTGGCTCATGGTTCTATAGATGGGTTTCGTAATTAGAATTCCTGGGATCAGATGGCTCTGTTTTTGATAATGTTGTTCTCTTCTTTTCATTTCTGTTTTCCTTTACTTTGGTCGTTGTTGAGTGTTTAGAAGGCAGAGTGGGAACCTTATCCTCTGATTCTGTTGTTTCTTCTTTAATAAATGAATCCTTCTCTTTAAACAAACAAAAATTTATAAATAAAAAAAAAAAAATCTTTCACTCTGTTGACAGAGAAACAAATAAACTAATTACTCAATTTTGGTTTCATTTTATGCATGAAGGATCATATACTTATTTAAAGCATATAAAATTAGTATATTTATTCTGCCAACCTATTGAACCATACTAGCTGTATTTTGTTTGCTGATATTTTTTACGGTTCCAACTCAGAATGTAAATATCTTTTTTATGTTATCCTGTAATTTCATTTTAGCATTAGTGAGCAGGCAATCATGTTCTCTAATTCTTCCTTCATGAATTTTCTCAGGCTTATTTATTATTTGGAGATGAGGAGTACTTGTATATATTTCAAGAAGCTTATGCTGCTGCCATGCATTATCTTTACAATGACCCTTGGTATTGTTTGTGGCTTTACGTGCCTCCCTGTAATTACAGTTGACTCGTCTCCTGTGATTCTTTGGAACTCTCATGCTTGTTTATAATGTAACTTTTAAAAATTCAGGCAAAGCTAGGAAGAAATGGAAAAGGCCAAACGACATAAATTGTGGCAAGACTTGATAATTGTTTGTACATTACTCAAAAGTATTTAATCATCAACTTGAGAATTTGAGTTATTAATATTCTCGTTAATGGCATCCTCGGCATTTGAGCAGCTACTGGCATTTTTTCAATATGCTCATCATGATTTGTTCCTTTGACAGTTCTCTATACTCCTTGGCCACATTGTCTGACATAGCTCCTAGTAATTGCCCCTCAATGCAAGGAAAAATTAAACACGATAACCCTAAAAATTTCAATTGCCCCCTCTGAAAAGGAAAAATTCATTTGCCTGCTTAAAAAGTTTCACTTATCCCCCTAAAAAAATTATTTAACTGAAATCTTATCCATATGTTGTAATCTCAAATAACAGTAGTTTGAGAATGGAGGGATCAATATGTTAGAAAATAACTTTCTTTGATTGTTTCTATACTATACAAAAGAGATGAATAAATTATATTTGATAAAAAGTTAAAAAAAACATAATTTTAATAAATATAAAAATTTAATTCATATTAAGACAGTTTTATTTTATGTGTGATTATACTTTTATGTTTTACACCTTCTTCTTTAGTAATGAAGTTTTACCTCTAATGCAATTTAATAAATATTTAAAATTATATTTTAAAAATATAATTAATATTCATCTTGAATGAAAATTTTGTCCTCACTACCTAATTTTTCTGGGTCCGTCACTTCTAGCTGGTCTTCACTGGTTGCGTTGCTCGCTAGGGCACCAGTAAACAACTCCCATTCCATTGCCCAAGTCTTCAATACAAAGTCGCAGGGTCTGCACTAATCATGGTTGATAGATTGAACCAAGATCTTTGATTTGTGACTATCTAGGCAACTAGGGTTTCCATGTCTAAAGGCATTTAAAAAGATCTTTGATTGTGACTATCTCCTAAATGACTCTTACATGTCCCACGTTTGAAACCTGGATTTTGGTTTATTTTTGCAGGTATGTAGAAGTGAACATGGATTCTGCTGCTATTGTCTGGCCATTATTTAATAGTTTGCAGGCATTCTGGCCTGGTCTCCAGGTTTTTCTTTATTAATTTCTAATACTATATAGTATAAACAATGGATCCTAGATTGTTTGTACGAAAATCATAATGGTTAGTGAAGTATCCTCATGTTCACAAGGTTTTAGCTGGAGACATTGATCCTGCAATTCGTACCCATGCTGCCTTCTTTAGTGTATGGAGAAGATATGGTTTTACACCAGAGGGTTTTAATCTTGCTACCCTCAGTGTTCAGGTATATTTCATACGATTACCTGACAGTCAATGTGGGAGCGTTTAGAGTCGGCATGGATTTCCAAGTAGCATTATTGTATATTGATGAGCTCCTCTTAAATCAGTTGATCGTAAATAAATTTCTATGTTGAAACTTGTGCACTACTTATCTATGATCCAGTAAATAAGCTTAATACTAAGACCTTTTTTCTGGCATCTAGGTTACATTTTTGGTGGATTTAATCAGTTGGATTTGTCAAAGTGATATAGCAATCTCAATATGTGGTCGCTTGATTCTGTGGATGGTTTTGATATTTTAGTCTGTTTGATGTTGATTTAACATGTATTTGGCAAGACTAACTTGCATGGGGTATTTGAGGTGCACACGCACAACACCCAATGTGAGTTAGTCTTGGTCCAATAGTTAATGGGTCCATCATTTAACCCCACTCTTCAACCAGCAGCAATTCTCTCTCTCTCACACACACGCATGCCCGCACTACCAAATGTTAGTTAGTGTTGGCCCAATAGTTAACGTGTCCATCTTATATACGTGTCTTTCAATCTATTGTCTCCCTGATGTCAATAGCCCTTTATCACCATTTAGATTTGGCTTAGCCTGAGGCTTACATCTTCTGCTAATGAAAACGTGTCTTTCTTTTGTGTGCCAGATAGAAAAGCATTTAAGAAATTTCTTACAGTACTTGTGAATCGTTCTTTTCTATCCCCTTATTTTCAGCATGGGCAGAAAAGCTACCCTCTGCGGCCAGAATTAATAGAGAGCACATATTGGTTGTACAAAGCTACCAGAGATCCTAGGTATGCTCATAACTGCTTTCAAGTGGTCCTGTTATTGGTTCCATACTATTCTCTACTGTCATTTCTGGTCGTTCAGAAGAGTAAAATTATGAAGAATGAGAACCTTGTAGCCACTCTTCATGTTGCTTTGAACATAACAAGAAGTGCAGATTTTATCAGAATGGATTATTGACGATAAGGAGACCACTGTGAAGTAACTTGTGTTCTATGAAAATTAAGATTTGTCATCTTTTTACATTTGAAGTCGTATAAGTTTTATGAAATTACGAATTTTTGGTCCAGAATTATTAGCTGGACATAGATGTTGATAGGAGGAAATAGAGAGAATGAAAGTTTTGAATAGTGGCATCAAGATTATTTCTCCTGTGGCTTTGTTAAAAAGACTTTTGCCAGACAAATATTATTTAAGAAATACCTTTTAGCTGACATTGAATGAGTATCATTGCTCAATACTCAGTGCTAGTCTATAAAGCAAAATAAATGGATGATGTTAAAAATTTCTTGTGTGTCCATTTAGTGAATTGATTTACTATGCAGATTTGCAAGGTTTTAACAGCATGGGTGATCTTTGTTGATCCCTATTTATTAGTAGGCTGGATGCTGATAAGCTTGTGTTCATATTAATTCTTAACCACCTTTGCAGTTTTGGAAGAAATTAGAAGTAAATAATAGAATTTTCAACTGTGCTTGGACTTTTTTATTTTCATTCCTCTTTTGCTTTCGGAGGATTTATTGTCATCCATTTTGTAATTCTGTTCTCTTATTCATAAATCTTATACTTTTTTCCCTATGAAGCGGGATTTACTTATTCTACTTATATGAACTATTTTATTTGTTGATAGTATTGCCTGCAATATTACTTAATTCATATAAATTCAATTGTCGTCTATTTGCATCTTTGAAGATATCTTGATGTTGGACGGGACATAGTTGCTAGTTTACAGTATGGTGCCCGATGCACTTGTGGATATTGTCACATTTCAGATGTTGAATCTCACAATCAGGAAGATCACATGGAGAGCTTCTTCCTCGCTGAGACGGTAAGAACCAATTCTACATGAGTTTATGTATCTCTCCTTTCATTATGCATCATTGACGATGGTCACCAGGATAGGTTGATTGACCTTCGGCCAGGGTTCCAACTAACATCTCTATTAGGACTTGGCATCTCATAGAGACTTGCTGTGGTGACGTGTGTGTCAGAGGGAGAGATCATTAGTTTCATTTTGAATGTGTGTTGCGCATAACAATGAGAATAGTGTGGTGCGTTCAGAATAATCTGTGTGTGGCTTGAGGCAATTATGGTAACTTTTTTCATTTGTTGATTAGTTAAGTTTCCAAAGCTGAGCCAATGCTACACATGCTGGCTCCCTTCTTTCAAAAATTTTGTGGCAAATACATTGTTCTTTTCTTCTTCTGGCTTTCAGCATCTGCCATTTTGGAAATGCTCCCTTAACATAATGATCACATTTTATTTCTTTCCTTCCTTGATAAGATAACGTCTTTTGTTAGAGTGAATTCTTTTGGTCCCAAACACTTCGGTAGTTATTTTGGTTTTCACCTTTTTTCTTTTTATATTTTTGGAGGGACATGCTGATATGATCTGATTACAATTAGGTCAAGTATCTGTGGCTTCTATTTGATTTGGCTGTGGGTCCTGATAACATTGTGGAAAACGGGCCATACAAGTAAGTGCATTAATTCATTTATTAGACTGACTAGCAGTTTTTCTTTTTCAATAAAATTGAGCTACAGGTTTTCTCTGTTATGCTTTGGAACAGGTACATCTTCAGCACTGAAGGCCATTTACTGCCAGCTACTCCTCAAATCTCTCTTGTAAAGGAACATTGTCTGTATTATGGGTCTTATTGTAGAATGAATGATGTAAGACAAGGATCTTTTAGCTCAGAGGTTGAAAATGATCTACAAGAATCCAATGACAGTAAAATCCATGGAAGCGAGACTCATGCTGAGCATATGTCAGATTATAATACTTTTGAATCAACTTCTATTTCAGGTTTGATCAAGGTGAGTGCTCGGTACACTTTCCTACCATCCCTGTTGAATTCTTCCTTTCTTCTTTTTGCAATATTCACAGTACAGTTACTGGATATTATTTCATTTAACTTTTCATGCTTAAATTTCTTCACTGTTTTCATTAATAATTAAAAGGTCAGAAATCAAGTTATCTACTTCCTATTTGGTTTCTGATGCAAAATTTCCTTTTCTAGTAATTCTACTGATTCTGCACAAGTGCATATTGTGAGACAGTTGAAACAGTTTGATAGTTTGATAGTGCCAGAATCAGTAACTTATTTTTCCCTGGATTTTAAAAATAAAGAATCATTGTTGTTTTAGATGCTTTAAGTGGCATGTCACATAAACAAGACATATTTTATTTTTATAAAGACCAGTCAGATCAGTGGTTGCATTGCTCAGTGATGCAAAATTTAACGAGGTTGTGCTTCTTCGGGTATTCCTAGCCTCCCAAAATGAAGTACATGTTTTTGTGCCCTACTTTTGTAAGCCTCATCTGTGTCTTTCATTATTCCTAGAATTCATTCACCTTAATATAACATCCTTGTATTTGGACTTCGCCATATCATCTATCATGTCCCCGTTTCCCATAACCATCTCCATGCTTCAATATTTTAAAGTGATATGAACTTATAATTGACAACTAACCACCCATACATTGCAGAAAAGTGATGTTTTTAAGCTTTCCAATACTTTTGGATTTTTCACTGCGCTTTGGATCAGTTAATTAATGTTGAACATCTTATTGTAACTTTGCAGGGTTTTTGCCCAGGATTAACCCATGGTCAGAAGTTTGGTATATCATATGTGCATCCACCTGATCAGCCTCGTGATTATGAGACTGTCCAACAGAAAGAACCAGCAGTTGTACAAAGCCAGGCAGTTTTGGTTATCCCAAGCCAAAGTGCCGACCATTTGCCACCCGACCATAATAGTTACAAAGATGATAATCAGACTCATGAATCAGATGTATCTAATGAACAGAATGATAATCAGACTCATGAATCAGATATATCTACCTGAAGTGTGAAGAGGTGGACTTATGGTGCTGGTAGAACTCAACATGATAGACCTCATGCGGCGTGAAAGATCATATGATCTGTGAGCGAAAGCAAGAGGATCGTCATGGCTGATGAAGAATATTTGTGGCTTTGGGATTACCTGAAACATATCTCTCATTTTCATTAGTTTGTTCATAAGCCAAAAGTATAGTTTTCATCATTCTGGCAATTTTTGATACTGTGGGCATGAAGCTACCGGCCTGAACTATGGGTGAAGGGTCTGTTAGATGCGCCTTCTCAGACTGCTGCCAGAGGCTTGAGACATAATTTTTGCCTTATGAGGCTCTGGGCTCGTCTAACAGAATGTAATTTTAAAATTTTCTTCTGTTGTGTCATCATTTCCAATACATTTCTGTAACCTGTTGTAGAAATCTCATTTGTCTACAGATTATAGGCAACAGTTACGTCTGAATGTAGACCACAGTTTCAAGTGCTAGAGTAAGGAGCCACTCTCTCATTTGCCCATTTTGTTAACTTGTATAAGTCCAAGACATGGAAAATGTAGTTGTCCCTCATTAATTGTGGCTACCCTTGGCTTGCCCCCTTCAAAAATTTGTTGAGTTTGACCCAACTGCTCGGTTTGAGAGAGACTTGGTTTCTTTTATATTGGAAGTTAGAAACTTTTGTGGCTGAAGGTTGGGACTCCGATTTCTAGAATTTGGTTTTAGTGTCTGATTAAGAGAATATATATATATATATATATATATATATATTTACAATTCAAGGCACCCAAACATGCCCCCACAAACAACTCATACTCAGCATAGGTTTAAACTTGTAACCCTGCTTGGCCCAACCTGAACTCGCTTGGGTTGTTAGGTTAAATGGGCCAACTTGCCAACCCACACAATTTTTTCCCACTAATTTCAATGATTTTTAGCACCTAAATTTAACCCATATTCATTCAAGGAATAAAATTAATAACATCATCTACTATATTTAATGGTCAAAAAAATTCATGTAACTCTTAATCCTTTTTGTCTTTTTAGAAAAGAGAGTTAAACCGGCAAACTCAAATGAATTATTCAAGTCATCAATTCATTTAATCTAACCATTGTTCTTAGCTCTAATAATTTCTTGCCCACATAAATAAAAGGAAAATTTGGTAAAAAAAATTCTTGTTTAAAAATTTAATTGGCTAAAAAGAATTAAATTTAAAAGTCTGCAACTATGATCTATGAGTATAATTTTTTTTACTATGTGCAACATATCTTTTGTTATATACAAATAATTTTTGTATTAATAATTGTTACACATTATTAATTATATGTTGCACATAACCAGAAAAAAATTATACTTATAGATGAATTATAGTTACATTTATTCAAATTCAAATCTTTGTGCCAATTAAATCAATCAAATTTTTAAAGAATGAGTTTCAGAGGGTGTTCGGGTAACTCAAAATTACTTTTTAAAAGTATTTTTTCGTAAATCGAAATAAACTCCTCTACATATTTACTTTGTATATTGTAAAATTATTTTTAAAACTATAATTTTATTTTTATCTAAACATCTTAATCAAATTTACCTACACAAAAGCACACACTTTTATAGCTATTTATTGCCTGGACAGGGTATAATATATACAGTTAATACAAATGCTGTTAACCGTACATTCACAGAGTATATTTACAGCAGAGCTACTAATGCCAGTCCCTGTCTGCTGTTTGTGCCTTTTCTTTTTGAACAAGACAAGAGGCTCTTGTTAGATCAATCAAATGAATGCCAGTAAAGTAGTTTATCGTCTGTCTTTTTCTTTTAAATTTCCATGAAATTATAAATTTGAACCATTTAATAACTTAATGGGATAATTATAAATAATTAAATTGAAATGAGTCATTTTGGTTGTATTGACAAAAAAAAAAGAAAGTGGGAATCAGAGGAAATGATGTGAAGGAGATAAGAAGTTGCCTTCGGGTTGCATCCAAATCCAACACAACTCTGCTGCTTCAATGTCCCTGTCTTTTGGTTTTTGTCTGTGAATGTGAAAGTTGTCATGTGGTTCTTTTGCAGAACACACACGTTGTTTTGTCCACAGCATCTCTGTTTTCCTAAATTTTTTATGTTATGTTTTTTCCCCCCTATTTTCTTTCTTTCTTTTTGCTGTTTTTCTCCTTATTCATAATAGTTCAATTCAATAACTAATTCACAAAAAAAAAATCGTAACAATTCAATTAATATGGACTCTTTCTTCTCATAGACATGTTATTTACATAGCATATTCATTTTTTTTTTTAACCAGCATAGCATATTCAAATTGTTCTTCAATATCTTCTGACCAAAAAACAAAATTGTTCTTCAATATCGCCCCATGACAATATAAATTATTATTACTTTAAAATATAGAAAATACCGGTTAAAGTATTAAAAATCTTCCTAAACTTCATGTCATAGCCACTTTTTTTTTAAAAAAACCATACATAGCCACTTTTTTACTGCACCTGAAACAGGGCCTTTTATATTAATCTTTCGAAGCATGGGATTCGTTAAAAAAAAATAATAAAGGTATTAAATATCAGTTAAAGAATTAAAAACCTTCCTAAACTCCATGTCATAACCACTTTTTTACTACACCTGAAGCATGGCCTTTTATATTAATCTTTCGAAGTGTGGGATTCGTTAAAAAAATAAATAAATAAAGCTAGTGAATTTTGTGTAAAAAAAAAAAAGTGTTGTAAATTGCTTACTTGAAATGGTATGGCTCTAGATCCCAAAAAAAAAAAAGGGTATAACTCACTTCTAGTAAATTCCTCCTCTAATGTATAGGGGTGACATTATGAGTTTGTTAAGCTTGGTGACAATATTGCCCTAGTTAACAATTTAATACTCAGCATTCTTCTTAAAAGATTTAAGGATAAAAATACTTTTTAACCCTCTATGATTAAAAAAAAAAAACTCCACAATCTATAGTTAATTTTTTAATGGATGGAACCAATATATATATAATTGTCATAATTAGGCTAGCTCAATAAACTGCGTATCATTTTCAAGAATCATGTCTCGAGCAGATGTCTAGTGAGTGACTATTAATATATTGATTAATTAAATTAAATTAAATTAAATTAAATAAATAAAATGACACTTTGGCTTGATCACTTTCTTTTTCTCTGAAAAGAAGAAAATGCTGACACTGATGCACACACCTTTATGTGCAGCTTCTGAACTCATAATAAAAGCAAAACAAAAAGGCCAAGCATTCTAATTAAATAATATCTTTTATATACTTATTCTTCAAACTTTTGAGTAAAATATTTAATCAAAAAAGATCTTCTCATTGCTCGATAAGATTATCTCAGAAGAAGAGAAAATAATTAAGTTTAACAGGCAAGCTGTGTACAGCTTATGTTAGACAAAATTCTGAGAGCAAAAGGACAGAGAGAGAAAGACATAAAACAGAGGAAAGACATTTTCACAAGTGAAAAGACTACTTTTTCTTCTGTTGCTCTGTCTATTTAATTTTAATTTAAATTAATTTGTAATTTTATGTTTCACTCTTATTTATGTCTGTCCTTCACCATGCAGTATGCACTTACCCAAAAACCTGTGAATGGATCATAAATTCATAATCTTTTCAAGTATAAGAAAAATCTATTTACAAATATTTCTGTAAATAATAGAAGTAAAATTTATAAAAACAATTCCATTTATTCATGCTGAAAATAAGGCCTATTGCTTGTATAAAAAAAAATATTTTATCAAAGTGGAATCATAGCCACTAGATACATTCTTTATACTATCTTCATCATTTGAATATCTCAGGGCATGATTAATTTGATTAATAAAATTGGATTAGATGTTGGCCAAAAAAAAAATCAAGATCCTATAAAAATTAATCTTAGAGTATGGCTGAAAAATTATATGTTCATATAAATATATATAAGTACCCCTTCAGATACTAAATATGGAAACTTATTAATAAGTTTGTCTTGATTTCTTGATTTTTAATACAAGACCTCAGTTTATTTTATTACTCAAATTTATAAATTTTTTTTCTAATAAATCTTTTGAAGTCACATACTAAATAAGGTTTTTCCGTTTATAATGGTAGTTTTTAATGTAAGTATTTGAGAGAGTATTTTAAAAAAATAATTTATATTTAATGCAAATAATTAATTTATTTAATCCTATAAATTAGTTATTAGCTTTTATACTTAGGGAAAAGGTATCAATTATTCACTAAACAGCTACTTAATACTAGAAGCACAACTCAACTCTAGCATTGTTTATCAACATTCAACCCAACCAATCTCTCTCTCTCTCTCTCTCTCTCTCTCTACAGTTTGCCATACAGGCTCCTGGTTTTTGGTTTATTCCGAGTCAAGTTTCTGATCAAAATACAATGAAGATTCCTGGAAAGCAAGAGAAAATGATGATGAAGATTCCTTTTCATTATACCAACCGACACTCATATTTCTTCCCTCCCCTCATTCAATCATATATCCATAAATCTCACAAAACCACGGTTTCTTATTATTCCCTTGCCAACACCAGCCAAATCAATTTATAATTATCAAAATATTTTATATAGATATATAAGCTCTTTCCGTCACTGCTGTTCACGAAGTCATGAACAATACAACTGTCACATTTGCAAGAGGTCCAAAATCTCATTCAATTCTGAAAGGCTTTTTAAGAAGCTTAACAGGGAAACCAAAATAAAGTTTGAGCCTTTCAGAAAACATAATAATTAAATTAAAAAAAAAAAAACAAAGGCAAGAAAAGTCATGGCCCTGTTCCTAATTTCCAAGTCATATTATGGCAAAGCGGCTAGTTAGGCAGCATTTTCTCCCCTAACCTAACTGCATCACATCTAAATGCCTTTGTCTGGAATTCAAACCAAGTCAGGGACAGATTTTGACTGACATTTTAATTAGACCAAAATGGTGGTTATAACTTATAACTTGCCGGTGGAGTTTGGTGAAGACAATTAAAAAGAAAAAGCACAAGAAATTTCTCATAGGTCATCTCTGACTATAACATGATTCAACAAAAACAGAACAGATGCTTAAAGTAACCATATAAAGAGAAAATAATGTTGTTTTCACTGAGGACTTTAAAAAGACACCTGAACATGTTTTTTAAAGGATGGACCAGCTTCACCCTCACGCCTTCCATGGCCATTGGCCGCATATTAGATACAAAACAGAGAGATACATACACGTATATATGTAGAGGATCACATGTATGCTTTTCACTGGAACAAGGAAGAGACATGAACAAGTTTTCCAGGTTGGACCAGCTTCATCAAACCTGACTTTTCATGGTCAAATCCTCCGTGCAAGAGGGGGTTGTAAGTGTCTTTAAGATTAGTATTGTTCTTTTCACTGTAGAAAGACCTGATCTAGTTTTCTAATATGGACCACCTTCAACCTCAGACTTTGCCCGGCCATAAGCCTGCATATGACTGAATTTATGATTTTGTCTTTTAGTGTTATTTCAATTTGGACATCTGAGCATGGCTAAGGAAAAGAATTGTGAAAAATAAGGAAGATCTGGATATGGCGCACATAGCTTAACCTACGCAGATCCAAATCACGAATCGAAATTATGCATACGAATAATAATTGGTGTATTACATTGTAATCTTTTATAGATACAAAAACCTTAAGAACAACAGGAAAATAAAAATAAAAA